TGTGGTGGCTTGAGTTTTTGCATTGCGTTTGGGTTTTGGGGGGGGGGGGGTGTCCCTGGCTGCAGGTGCTCCTGGACGGAGGAGGTGTCGCCTTGACTGCCGAGTGCCCCTGGGAGGTGTGGGGGCCCGTCTGGCTTGCTGGATCGAGGGGCTGGGCTCAGTCCGGGGGGTCTCTGGCCTCAGGTCCTGTCTCTGCTCTGCCTCAGTTCCCTGCCGGTCCAGTGGGGACAGCCCTGGCCTACCTCCTGAGACGGTTGTGAAGGGGCAGGACTTGCGGCACCTCTCAGGCGCTGCCTGAGTGACTAGCATCCTGCTCCGGGCCAGCTCCGTGGGCTCTCAGGGCCACTTTTTTTGCGGGGGGGGGGAGTGGGGCTTGGATCCCCGACTGACCTCTTTCTCCCCCTCTGTCTCGCTTGCAGAACACAGAGCTGTTTGAAATGATTGAAAAGATGCAGGTGAGTCAACCCCTGGAGCCTGCCTGGACTCGCACCCATGTCCTGTCTGGAGGCCCAGACAGTGAGTGACTCCAGCTGGGGCCCTTCCGGGGCAGGTGGTCCGGCGAGCAACCCGGGAAGGAGTTTTCTCCCTGGCGAGCCCTGAGTGACCACCAGGGAAGGGATTTGGCTCCCTTAAAAACTGGGAAATCCGAGAACAGAGTCCAGGCCGTGCCGTTTTTTGGAGGGCTAGCCCAAGTGAGACAGATTAGGGGCCCTGCTGACTTGCTACAGGGAGTGCTCCTGTGCCGGGCACGTCGGCCAAGGACATCCCTTTGCAAGGACGAGCCAACCCCTGTTCCCCATACAAAGGCCAGCGGGGACGAGTGCCTGCACACACGTGGCGTTTAAACATGCATTCCCAGAGGAAGGCAAAAAACCACCAGGATCTCTGGCCAATCAGGCTTTGAGCAAAATTACTTCCTGGCCAATCAGCCCTTGAGCAAAATTCCTTCCTGACTCCAAAGTGGCAATTGGCATTACCCTGGGCATGTAAGAAAGGGCCATGAGAGTCAAGCAGTGGCTCATCGCTTCCTGCCCTCCCCTCTCATGTCAGATGGCCATCTAGCCCTGCTTAAAAACCTCCAAGGAAGGACAGCCCACCACCTTCTGAGGAAACCTGTTTAACTGAGGAACAGGCCTGTTCCACTGAGGAACTGCTCTAATGTGAGAATTCACACACATATAGACTGTGCACAGTGCGTGTGCCTGCATTCACATTTCTTTGTTTGTTTGTTTGGATTAAAAACTGCTTTAGAACATTGTTTTCCCCTCCCCCATTTTCTCACCAAAACAGCCCTGTGAGGTAGGCCAGCCTGAGAGTTTGTGACAGGCCCAAGGTGCGCTCGCTGTAACTTGGGCGCGGGGCGAGAGTGTGAGCGGTTGAGTCCCTCGGAGCTCTTCCCCACATGGGAAGTTACAGAAATCAGAAACAAACAAAGTGTCCGGTGCTGAAGCAGGTCTCCCCGGTCCTGTGCCAGAGGCTGAGCAGATTTAAGACGGAGCGGGCATTGAGTGGCACCCAGGGCATTCTGGGAGGGAGAGGGAGAAACCAGGTCTCTCCCTGGGAAATGGAGGGACTTGCCGTGGGCATCTCCGAGCAGCGTGCAGGAAGAAAGGGGGCTGCGGTGGGGGTGTGTGGAGTGTCAGGATTCAGAACTGCTCCCCCTGAGCTACTTGGTGGTTGCAGTCTCCACATGCTCAGAGGCACCCTCCCCTTAAGCAATGCAGTGCAAGCGAGTGTGTCTTCCAGGGCTGCCCCCTGGCTTTCAGCGCAGATTCCTAGCCAAAGCCGGAGGTGGGTGGTGTAAACGCAGAGGCAGAGGAGCTGGCACCAGCACCCACCAGCCCACGGCATGGATCCCAGCACCACTGCAGCAGAAGTGCCGGTCGCAGAGCCCGGAGCCTCAGGCCCGGTGGGGCTCCTGAGCGGGCAGAATAGGAATGCCACTGGGTCCCCCCCCCCCGGTCCCTTCCCCCTGGCGCACCACCTCTGCCCTCGCCAGGCCCCTGCCAAGCAGCCGAGAGAGGCGTGTGCCGAGCACTGATGGTGCCCCCTTCCACATGTCTTCCAGGGAAGCAGGATGGATGAACAGCGGTGCTCCTTCCCCCCTCCCCTGAAGGTGAGTGTCTCTGGATCCCGGAGGTCGGCTGCCTAAGAGAGGGGGCTCTGGCATCACCCAGTGGAAGCAGCACAGTTTCCCCTGGACCAGAGAGGCCCTCCACACCCCACCCCCATGAAAGTCGGTGGTTGGGTCTGTGCCCACGCATACATGTGGGTCACTGAGACCCCCCCCCCCACACACACACACACACCGGCCCTTTGGGCATTTCTGGGCCGGCCTGGGGACGTGTCTGTTGCCCTTTCCTGAGGCCCGCCCTGCTGGGCTTCGGAGCTGTCTCCCCCCCAGGGGTCATTGGGAGGAACCACCGCTAGCAGAGCTGGGGGGGGGCTCTGGCCGCGTCCCAGGCTGACTCTGACCCAGCTGAGCCTTGAGGATCCCACCCCCTCCCCCAAGGACCGATGGCGCGGTGCAGCTCAGCTGGGCAAGAAGGGCCCTTCCAACTGAGCGCTTGAGACCCACATGGCTGGCATTGGTTCCCGAGCCGGGATCTGTATGGGATCCTTTCATGGAGCCCTTGACTCTAAGCGCATCCTCCCACCGTCACGCCCGGCCAGAATCCCCTTAACTTTTTCCCTGGCCGGGAGGCAACAAGCATCTCCTTGTGTTCTGTTGGTGCTGGGAGCGGTCTCGCATCCACGCTCAAGTCCACCTGCCCACGCTGTTCGGGAGGGCCAGCGGGCCCTCTTCCCCAAGTCACGCAAAGGGGGGAGCTGGTTCCACTGACATACGCCTTTGCTTTGTGCTTTGCAGACGGAAGAGGATTACATCCCCTATCCCAGTGTCCACGAGGTACGGAGAATACCCTGCCAGTCCTGCCGTGCCGGGAAATGGGTCTGTGACAAGCTATTCGCTACGATAGCTAAGCGGAACTTCCAGGACCAGCGGCTGTCTACCCCACCCCTAGGTGGAGCTACAGGGGAAAGCTGTTGCCCTGCTTGCTGGTCTCCTATCGGCCCCCCCCCCCCCCCGTTCTGATCCCTTTGGGGCTGCTCTTCTGCGCTCCAGCTCCTCTGCCACCCCTCTCTGCTTTCCACAACCCCCGTCAGGAGAGCAGCAAGACTTTCTCGGTGGCTGTCTGCGAACTGGAGTCTGAGGCAGGCCAGGCTGGCTGCCGGTTTCTCGTGTGGCTGGCTGGCTGGCTGCGTGTCCATCGTGTGCCCTCTTGAGGGGAGCCTGAAACGTCACCCTACAGGAGAAAGTCAGGCAAACTTGGTCCCTTTCCCCCCGTTTTCCTGTTTTTGTTTCTGTTTCACTGTACAGGGTTGTTTTTTTTAATTGGCAAATCTCAGGCTGGTTGTGCTGAGCTGCTGTTTCCAGTATTGTCAGCCGGTTTCTTTCCCCCAAAAAAACGCTTTCTAAAATTTGACCCTGTCTCTAACTTGGGGGTATTGAAATTCGGACAGTACATGCAGGGGCCAGCCAGACTTGCGGGGTGGGGGACGCTGCCCTTTCTGCCCCCCCCCAATTGCTGGATCATCCTCTTGCCAACCGGCCCACCCGACTGCAGAGCGACTACCAGCGAATGCTTCCCCCCACCCCCCGCGCCGCACTGCCTTCCCCCCCCCCCCCGGTCTGCCTGCCTGCCTGGGAACGGGTCTCTGGCCCACCCATCACAGGCAGAGTTGACGTTCTTCTCTTGGGGTGGGTTTAAACACCCTTCTGTTTTGGGGAGCCAGGTTTTTCTGTAAACCTGGTTGGTCCCTGAGGTCTGCAGGGATATAGCCCTGATCCGGACTAGCCCCATTCTCTGGGTCTGTTGATCCGCACGGGGGTCAAGTTCCGCATCAGGTACGGGATAAGCCCATATTAGCGCAGGCCACACTTGCAGAACTGGCCCCCTGTCCTGAAGAACCGTCCCCCCCCGCCCCCCAGAGGCCGTGGCTGGGAAGGCCAGTGGGCCTCTCTCGGCTGAGGCCCCTCCAAGGCCCCCGTGCAGCTGTCTCTGCCTCCTCCCCGTTTCACAGGTCCTGAGCCGGGAGGGGCCCTTTCCCCTCATCTTGCTCCCCCAGTTTGGGGGCTACTGGATCGAGGGCACCAACCATGACCTGACGGGCGTCCTCGAGGCGGAGCAGCTCCAGTCGCCAACCTCCAAGGTGAAGCTGGAGTGTAACCACATGGCCACCATCTACAGGAAGCATTTCTTGGGCAAGGTGAGTCCTGTGCCACGAGTGTGGCTTGTGCCTCTCAGGAGGAAAATGCTGGCGGTCCAGGCTCAGCTCTCAGTGGCCAGTCTCCATTCCGCTGAAGCTGCAGGTCAGCTGGCCCATGAGGTCAGACAGAGACTCGCACTGGGAGAGTCCGAGATAGGCAGACAGAGAAACCCACCTGGGGGTGGAGGGATAGGGAGGTGCCAGTCAGCATTTGCTGCCTCCCCAACCAGCGCCCCCCCCGCTCCCACTTTCGGTCCCCGTGACTGGCCTGGCTTGTGCTTCCCAGCCGCTCTGTTTGCCCAAGGCCGCCTTGTGTTTGTGTTAGAGGCCGAGCTGGTGGGCCTCTCTGTGCCTGGCAGCTCAGGGGCACCGCAGAGCCCTTCCACTCATGGCCTGGGTGGGGAGGAGGGGGTATTCCTGCGCCCAGTGCCAGGGGCACAAACCTCTCCTTTGGCTGGCCCACAGACGCACCTGCTGTGTGGGGCGGCACCTTCCTTGCCAGCTGGCTGAGAAACCTGGCCCGGCCTGGGGGCCTGTCTGGCTGAATGTTTTCCTTTCCCAGGCCCTGCCGGAGTGTGTCTGTGTCTGCGTGTGCCAAGGGTGGGGCTGCTGGCAGTGCCAGGGGCAGCCTCAGATCTTGCGCCTCCAGGATGGGGCGGGGCCTCGCCTCTTGGCTGACCTTCCCAGCACCGGGGAGGCAGTCGGCGGACGCCTCGGCGGGGGGCCTGGAGGGCTTGGAGAAGCAGGGGGTCCGATGCAGGAAGAGGGCAAAGGGGGCATCCCTCCGGGGCGCAGGGGGCCAGCCGGGACTGGGCTTTGCTGGGGCAGCCCATGGAGGGCTTGGAAGGCCACTGGCTCCGCCTCCTCCTCCTCCTTGGAGGACCCTTTTCTTAAGGCAGCATCCTTGTTGCCTGCCCCCCCCCCAATCCCCGAAGATCACCGCACTGGAATCCTGCGATAGTTCTGGTACCTCAAAAGGGACATTGCAGGGCTGGAAAAACAAGCGAGATGATCCAGGGGTTGGAGCTCCTTTCCTGCGAAGGAACCCTGGAGAATCTCGCCATTTAGAAAAGGGGTGGGGTGGGGGGACGACACCAGGTGGAAGGTTATAAAATTATGCATCTCTCTCTCCCATAATACTCTTTCTCCTGTAACACTGCGATCTGCAGGCACTCAGTGAAGGGAATGGGCAGTAGATTCAGGAGAGACAAGCCCCCCCCCCCCCCCCGCGGGATACCGTGTGATCCAGAAAGGACCTTGCTTGACTTTGTGCCCCCCCCCCTCGTCTTCTCTGAAAAAGAAGAGTCTTTTATTTGAAAAGTGTGCTTTGCAGACGAAAGCTCATACCTTGAACAAGACCTCTGCTGGTCTTAAAGGTGCCCGACTGGACTCTAAAGTTGTCCTCCTGTCTCCTCTGCCACTCAGGAGCATTTCAGTTACTACTCGGTGGACGCCGCGCTGGGGCACTTGGTCTTCTCCCTCAAGTACGACGTCATCGGGGATCAGGAACACCTGCGCCTCCTCCTGCGGTGAGTGGAGGTGGGCCTCCCTCCACTGCAGTGTTGTTGTGCGTGGGGGGGGGATCCCTTCTCTGTTTGTGCGCATGCGCACGCTCACTCTGTCCTGGCCTGGGTGTGGGATCTCTGCCTCATGGATTGGGACCTTCCCCACAGGACCAAATGCCGAACGTACCACGATGTCATTCCCATCTCATGCCTGACGGAGTTTCCCAACGTGGTCCAGATGGCCAAGGCAAGTCCACGGGGGGGGGGGGGGGCGGGACAGTTGGTTGGTTGGTTGGTTGTCTGCAGTTGGGCCGGGGGTGGGGTGGGCTTTAGCCAGAATGCGGGCACTTTTGGCAGGCCGGGGGCAGGTGGACTCTGGGCCAGGTTCTCCCTGCCTTTACCATAATGGGAGGAGCCATACCTGTCTGTGTGCCTTTGAAAGGCCCAGCGTACTCGCACGCTCTCTCTCTCTCTCCCCCCACCTCCTCCCGGGGGGGGGGCGCTGGGTGTCGCAGACCCTGACTGTCGAGCAGTCCTGAGTCGGCCTCTGCAAGACGCAGACTTGCCCCGTTAGCAAAGTTCTGACTGTTGCATCTCTGGCAAGATAATGGTGAATCACTGGATGCTTGGCCAGAAATGAACCTTGCAAAGTGAGGAACAAGCAGATTATGCGGGTTTGCAGCCCTGCTGTGGGAAAGTTAATTCTAAGCTTGGAGATGCTTATGTAATTGAGGAGATGATTTAATTGGTTTTGATAGAGTCACGTGACTTTGACATAATTGGGGCCGTGTAAGACAGCCATGCCCAGAACACCCCTGGGTCTCTCAGACGTGGCTTGCGTGAGGCTCTCTGACCTTCCTGAGAGCGCGCTGGTGAGAGAGGCTCACAAAACATGTTCCATCTCTTAATCGTAAGACCGATCGGAGGAAAGGGAACCGTGTGTGATCTTGGGCTGAGACCCAAGGTTTTCACTTGCCACCTGGCGTAAACACACTTCTGACCTCTGCAGTCAGAGGGCTGAGAAACTACCGAGACGTCTGACAGAGGAGAAGCATCGTCTCCACGTAGCCCTGTGCTTTAGTGGTTCCGGCGGTGCTCTGGAAGGGGCAGAGAGAGCCCTCGTTTCCATGTGTCTGTTCCAAGGGGAATCTTTCCCTCAAGGCGGGGTTGGGCGGGGTCCCCTCGGATGGAGCAGGCCGTTCTCTAAGCCTGAAGAGGCCCTCGCAGCTCGGGGGGGCAGGGGAGTCTGGGGGGGGGGTTGCTGTTGAAGCCGCGCCCCTCTTTCCTCCTGGGAAGAAGCTCTTTCACGGCCAGGGGGCTCCATATCACGAGGGGGAGTCCTGCCTGCAAGGGGGAACTTCTTGGTGGGGGAAATCCGGTCCCGGTGGCGTGGCGTGGCGTGGCCTGCGGTGTGCTGATTCTCTCCTTCCCTCCCCGGCTGCAGCTGGTGTGTGAGGATGTCAACGTTGACCGCTTCTATCCCGTCCTGTACCCAAAGGTAGGGAGGGAGGACTGAGCGGGCGGAGGCTGGGAGACCCAGAGACGGTCTTGGGGCACATTGGGAGGAGGGGGATCCGTGGCGGGTAAGACAGCAAGGTCAAGCCACCGAAAGGGGGGGGGGAGGCGCAGGGCGGGATTGGAGGAGAGCCCTTCCGAGCATGTTTGGCCTGCTCGGGCGCCCCTTTGGCTTGGGACCTGGGCTGCGGGGAGGGGTGGGGTTTTCCGGGGGGAGCTCAGGTCCTGGCTGGTGACCCGTCGTCTTGCTGCACCCCCCCCCAGGCCTCGCGCCTCATTGTGACCTTTGACGAGCACGTCATCAGCAATAACTTCAAGTTTGGGGTCATCTACCAGAAGCTGGGCCAGGTGGGTGTGAATCCGGGCGGGAATTCCGGGGGAGGGGGAGTGGGCTTCTGCCAGGAGGGGGGGCGGTGGCGAAAGACCTCCAGGGCCCCGGGCAAGGGTGGCGCAGGGCAGAGACGATCCTGGGGGGGTGGGGGGTCCAGCGCAGAGGAGGCCCCGGAGTGCTTTGCGCCTCCCGCCCAGAGGACCCCCCCCCCGCCAAGGAAGGAAGCCCCCTTTGCAAGCAGTGGGCTCCTCCTGTCCTCCCAGCCCCGCAACTCCAGCAGAGGAGGGGGAACAGCGTCCCCCTTCACCTCCCTCCCGCACTGCTTGCATCTCTGGGAAACCCCCAGCAGTGCCACCGAACCACACCTGCAGATCCTTCACGGTGGCATGAAAAGCTCGCTTGTTGGCAGCTGCTTCCCAAGGGGTGGGGAAAGCATGCCACAATCAGTGTTCCCTCTAAGATGAGTTAGTGTGAGCTAGCTCACAGTTTCTTAGCCTCCAGCTCACACATTTTTCTCTTAGCTCAGGAAGGATGGCTCCCGAGCAGACTAATTTATGCAGGAGCCAAATCGCTCGCTCACAGCTTTAATGCCAGTAGCTCACAAAGTAGAATTTCTGCTCACAGGACTCCACAGCTTAGAGGGAACATTGGCCACAATCCCGCTTCCTCCCCCCCACCCCCCGCCCCCAGGTCCCC